ATTTCTCTTTCACAGAGATCTGAAAAATTAAAATTAGCATTTGAAAGTATTCAAAAATTGTTTAAATCGTTGTTTAGTTGTTATGCTCTACAGGTGCAGTTCTCAATAAATAAATTTACCATCTCATATGTCTCAATCCTGACCAATTTGCAATTATACTAAACAAAAGGTGAAATATCTCTGACTTCACAAATTAATAGGACTTTCTTTTAGATGGAAAAAAATCTGAAACATAAAATCTATTTCAGTAAATAAATTCAAACAAGGTACTTTCACTATTTGATATTACTATTAAACTATTTTTTTCAAAGCTGTTAATATAACTTCCTTATAGTATGAGAAAGGAATAAAATAAAGGGAGTCATCCAGTCAGTATTTATTTTGTCTACTCTATGCCTAAGATTAGAGTAGGTGCTGGGGATATCAAAATATGTAATGTAGTCTAACCAAGAGAAATTTATATTCTAGCAGAATACATAAACTATGACTATTCCAGAGTGTGATGAAATATGAGAGCAAAGTGCATATAAATAGACAAGGAGCCACGACAGTAAGAAAACAACAGTTCTGCCTCCACTGGCTGGCTGTAAGCTCCACGAAGGCAGGGTTCGTGTTTGTTCACTACTGGGTGATTACTAGCTCCTAGCAGTGTCAGACACATGTCAGATGCTCAGTAAATATTTGTTGGCTAACAAAAGAGGAAAGGCTTCACAAAGAAGGTGACAAAAAAGATGAGCATTAAAACATTTGTAGAGCCTGGCTGGTTTGGCTCAGCGGTTAGAGCGTCGTGGTCCAGAGAGACCTGGGTTCAGTTCCTGCTAAGGGCATGTACCTCGGTTGCACTTTGTACCCGGCCCTGGTTGGGGGTGTGGGTGGCAGCCACTCAATGTGTCCCTTTCACGTTGATGTTTCTCTCTCTCTCTCTCTCCTTCCCACTCTGTCTGAACAATGGAAAAATGTCCTCGGGTGAGGATAAAAACAAATAAATAAAACATTAGAAGTTACATAGACAAAAAAGTTGGAAAAGAGTATTCTACACAGAGGAACAAATTAATTACTACACCCACCTTTCACCAATTTACTTTAATGTAGATAATAACATTTTCTTTTCTTTTTTTAACTGATTTTTTAGAGAGAAAGGAAGGGGGAGAGAGAGAGAAATATCAATGCGAGAGAGAAACACTGATTAGCTGCCTCCTGCACACACCCTACTGGGGATCGAGCCTGCAACCTGGGCATGTGCCCTGACCAGGAATTGAACCGGGATCTCTCAGTCCATGGGACGACGTTTAATCCACTGAGCCACAATGGCCGCGTGATAATAACATTTTCTACAAGCAACCTTTACCCATTTAAAAATGTCCTAAATATTTTCATTTTAAAAAAATAGAAAATAAACTATCAAGGTCTCCAGTATCAGGATACTGGACATACAATTTTGAGTAAGCCCAATACCAGTACAAACAAAACTGAACATAATAGCTACAAAAATACTTTATAGCTAATATAAAAATGGAATAAAATCTACTTAACCACATACCATGTTAAGCTGAATTTAATAAAACTCAATTTATAAAATTTAATTTAATAAATAATATGAGCTAAAACAAAAACAGGGGAGGGAGATTTTTTAAATCCTCACCCAAGGATATGTTTTTATTGATTTTTGGGGGAACAGGGAGAGGGAAGAAGGGGGAGAGAGAAGGAAAGAGAAGAAGGGGGGACATCTATCGGTTGCCTCCCACATGCCGACTGGGAATTGAACCTGAAACCTAGGTACATGCCCTGACCAGTAATGGAACCTGAAACCTTTTGGTATACAGGATGACGCTCCAATCAATTGAGCCACCTGGCCAGGAAAAAAAATTTGTTCTAAAAAACAACAATGAAGGCAGTTTATTAGACTAAGTATGATACATAACATTATAATGACATTTTGAGTCATGTTTTAGATCAATGATAAATATGAGATGTTGGTTTGGTCAACCTTCTATTAGCTGACAATTATTTTCTAAAAGGGTCAACAAAAGTAGCAAATGTGTTAGGCTGTGGGCCACATAGTCTCTGTCTTGACTATTTAATTGTCACTGTGGCATGAAAGTGGCATAGACAATACCTGAATGAATGGGTATGACAGGGTTCTAATTTTTATTTATGGAAACAGGTAGCTAGCCCCCAGTTCTAGTCTCAAAGTGACTTCTTGATAATTCTTTTTATCAACACAGCTTTGCTTCCTTTCAAACACTTTCACGTAAACTGTACTAGTATTTCACTAAAGCCTCTAAAGATTCCTATAAGAGAAATAGGTATTCTCTTGATTTACAGATAAACAAACAAAAGCTAAAAACTGAGTGACTTGCCCTAAGAAGCTACTAGCAGAGCGAATAACTAAAAACCAGGCCTTTGCTTTCACAACTCTTAACCATCACCCTCCACACCCAATCTTCTAATAACCCAAATGAAACATTTCCCATCTTTCTTTGGAATCCTCTGCTTATGGAGAAGCTCTCTATAGCTGACGCATCACATTGACAATAGAGTTTACGAACATCTACTTAAATGTCTATTTAAATTATTTACTTCAATTCTGAAGCAAAATTATTCTCAGATCCCTTTTCTCTTTAGAAGATTCCTGTCTTCTTCCATTCAGCCAATCTTCTGATTCATAAGTCTCCTAAAATGCCACTTCATCTTCAAATAGCCAGCAAGGAAAAGGGAACAGTATACCTTATGGGATTGTAAATTCGTAATCATTTAATAAAAATGTGTATATTCCGTAATATAAATGAGGTAAAAAGGCCTGGTCCCTGCCTCTGCAATAATCTAGCTGATAAATACCAGAGGTACAAATATGAAACTAAGGAGCAACTCCATGTAACTCTGGTCAAATCTAAGAAACTTAAAAGAAATCAGTACACAGTGTCATAAAATATGTGCCTTTTGTATACTGAAGTCGAACAATACTCTGTACTTTGCATAATGAAAGTGTAAAACTAAATAACTATGAATCCCTTTTTGACATGGTAATAATATAGTCCAGAGGATAAAACTGGATTACATTTTTTAAAAATTATACTTTTTTGGGAGAGGTGGGGAAGAGACACTTCTTTTCTATTCTAACAGTTGCTATGGAAGAGTACTTTATATTGGACTAACTCCCTATCCAAAAACAACTATGAAAGGTGGACAGAATGTAGGCAGTCCTTGCTTTGCATGCTAGTATGGGACTGGAAATGTGACCATGCAAGATGTAAACATGCAAAGTGATCTTAGCAGTTACTGGGAAAATTATGACTGTTCTGTGATTTTTACAAAATTGTCAAAACAAGACCCAGTGATCCCACTTCTAGGAATATACCCTAAGAAGCCTGAAATACCAATCAGAAAGCATATATGTACCCCTATGTTCATAGCAGCACTATTTACAATAGCTAAGATCTGGAAACAACCCAAGTGTCCATCAGTAGACGAATGGATAAAAGAGTTGTAGTACATATACACAATGGAGTACTACGCAGCTGTAAGAAAGATCTCTTATCCTTTGAGATGACATGAAGGGACCTGGAAAGTATTATCCTAAGCAAAACAAGCCAAGCAGAAAAAGACAAATACCACATGATCGCACTTATTTGTGGAATATAATAAACATACAGTCTGAGAAATAGGCTAGGGTAGACCCAGAGACGTGGAAGTAGGGTATAGACTGACAACCCTCAGAAGAGGGGGTGTTGGGGGGAGGAAAGAGATGAACCATAGAACTTATATTCATGTACACATAACCAATGAACACGGACAACAAAGCCAGGGACAGGGTGGAGGGGATGGGGAGGAGGGTGTTAATGGGGATAAAAAGGAGAAACATCTGTAACAAAAATAAAATAAATAAAATAATTAATTTAAAAAAATTTCTGATGGTTATAACTGTACAGAAAAATGAAAAAAGTAAGTATGACGAGTATTTATTTAATGCACAGTAATTTAAAACATTAGAAACATGGAGATTTAAAGTGTTTTACTTCTCTGTAAAAACAAAACAAAACAAAACAAAACGCCTTAAGCATGTTTGAATAGTGCTTGCTTCCTGGACATGTAACTTAACCAGCAAGCAACTTTCATAAACTGTGGTAAATTGTCATACTCATCTCCAAGTTTGGATCCATTTCTAACATAGTACCATTTGCACTTTCAATGCCATGAAATAGCTGTCCCTTTAATGAGATTTTGCCAGCATCACTTCCTCTGGGATAACGTCATTCTTTTCATTACAACCACTTTCCACATTTATGTGGAAAAGTTCACCTTCTCTAATTTCCACTGGCTGCTATCTAAACTCTCTCAAATGCCAATAGTGTTCCACATTCTCACTCAGCTGTGTCTTCTATAATTCCATTATGTTCTGTTAAATTTCACTCCCAGAATTATCACTTTTTCTTTTTTTTTGCTTCATTTTTACCTTTCTTAGTTTATTATTTAGTGTTCTAAAATGTTCTATGGGTTTATCACTGGAGACACAGAGGTAACAAAACTACATGCTTTGCTGTCTGTGGATGAAAACAGATGCATTAATGACAATTCAATGATAAACACTGAAAGAAATGAAGTGACTGATCATTGATCATGATGTATATATATCGTTGCATAATAAGTTGTGGACTGAAGAGCTGGCAATAAAGTTTGTACTTTTTGTAATTATTCAGTTACTACATACCATGGCAAATAAAATTAGAACCATATTCTTGGGACACTGTTATTTTTTCTCCTACTGTCATACGTTATGGGCAAAGCAATCAGTTTAGCCCTGGGGAATCCAGGAAGAGAGGGATGTTGGAAGGGTACAATGCAAGGGATGACTATAGGTAACATTTTTGCAAAATTTTGTGCTTAGAGACTGGAACCTGAACTTGTACCACCAATACTAAGATATACCAATTACTCATAGAATTATAGTTACTTCATACTTTATAAAGGGATATTCTAAAATTAAACCGTGCTATATTTACCATTATGTAATCCCATCCAGAGCTGTTTGTGATCTTTTTTCTGCATTTCATTGATTACTTGACTTTTGTGCTTTAAAGCATCAGCTTCTTTCACACAAGACATAAAATGAGCTTCAATTACATCCTTTGATGGACAGTGAAGAAGGTCCTTTTCTGGAAAACTCTATCAAAGGGAAAAAAAAAAAAAAAATATATATATATATATATATATATATATACATAAAACAGTATAAAATTAGCTTATCATATTTTCCAATATTTTTAGTAAACCATCTCTTACCTTCCCAACAGAGACTTCAGTACAACTAAAGATTTACATGTATAAAGGTGTATTTTATACCTCTTCCTATTCTTACATGACATGCTTATAACAACATGAAAAAAAATATATGAGTTACAATTTTAAAAGTAGCTTTCTAACTGACCATACCTAGTATTGGCAAGAATGTGGATTGGAACACTCACATACTGTTGGTGGGAATGTAAAATGTTACAACTACTTTGGAAAACAGTTTGATAGTTTAAGAAAAGTAAACAAAGCCCGGCCAGTGTGGCTCAGTGGTTGAGTGTCAATCCATGCACCAAAAGGCTGCCAGTTCGATTCCCAGTCAGGGCACATGCCCAGGTTGTGGGCCAATCCAGTTATTCTACAACTAGGCATTTACCCAAGATACAAAAAATGTATCTCCACATAAACACTTGATCATGGCCCTGGCCAGTTTGGCTCAGCGGTTAGAGCGTCGGCCTGCGGTCTGGAGAGACCCGGGTTCGGTTCCCGCTAAGGGCACGTACGTCGGTTGCAATTTGTCCCCAGCCCTGGTTGGTTGTGCGGGTGGCAGCCACTCGATGTGTCCACGTCGATGTTTCTCTCTCTCTCTCCCTTCCTCTCTCTCCCTCCCACTCTATCTGTACAAAAAATGGAAAAAAATCCTCGGGTGAGGATAAAAAAAAAAAAAAAACAACAAAAACACTTGATCATGAATGTGCACAGCAGTTATACTGGCAACATCCAAAAAATAGGAAACAACCTAAATGTCAACATTTATGTATATGAATACAAATACATAAATTGTGGTGTAAAGTTATCAAAGTATACACTTTTAATATGTATAGTTTGCTACAGGTCAATTAGAGCTTAAGAATCTGTTAAAATGCAACTTTTAAGGTTAAATAGCTAAATTTATACCATTATGTAATCCCATACCGTTGTGGGAATGTAAAATGTTACAACTACTTTGGAAAACAGTTTGATATACCTTTAGTGAATTTTTCAGGCAATTGAGACAATGATCATAAGTCAGATAAGCAGTTATGCAAATGAGATGACTAATGAACTTTTCACTGAAAAGAAGAAAACAATAGCTAACTCTAACTGAACACATATGTGACATTGTGCTAAGACTTTTTATATGATTATAATTTAAACTTTATAATAACCCTTGAGGTAAACACTAATGTCATTGCTATTTTACAGATTTTTAAAAAATTAAAGCTCAGAGAGTGGATAGTCATATAACTTGCAAGTGGTAGAGCTAGGATTAGGGTGACTCAGAGTCCCACCTCTTAACCACTATGCAATACCACTTCCTCCATAACACCTAAATACTTAATGATTATATCTGAGTGTTATTTTACAGGAAAAGAGTTTGTTCTGTAAGTCCTTCAATAAAGAGTCAAATAATAGTGGGAAAAAATAACATTTAGTCATAGCCTACTCGTATTACTATATTAATAAAAAACATTCAATTACCTAAGTCATAGAAAGCTCATAATTTAAAAAACTTATAGTAGATGCCCTCCTACCAAGAGAAAAGGCACTTGATAACCTATAGCTATTTCCTACAGTGTATTCTTTACATAAAAGTAAATAGTCACATCTCCTTCTACTCTCATAGAGTCTGATTTCACAGTTTCTGCTGAGTAAAAGGTAAGCCACTACATAAACCACCCACTAGTCAAAGTTGCCTGGAGCAGAAGGAAACAGCTGAGACAACTATATTGTTTCTCTAGGTACAAAGGGATTCCAGTCTTGTGGTGTTCTTGAACTAGAGGTCCATAAAAAACTAAGGTGGATGTTTTCAGACACATGAATACAAAGGCAAAGAATGTAAGAAAATGTAAAATTTCCATCCAGCCGGTGTGGCTCAGTGGATTGGGCATGGCCCCATGGACCGAGAGATCCTGGTTTGATTCCGAGTCAGAGTGCCCAGGTTGCAGGCTGGATCTCCAGCAGGGGGCGTGCAGAAGGCAGCTGATGGATGTTTTTCTCTCACATTGATGTTCTAGCTCTCTCTCTTTCTAAAAAAATCAATTAAAACATTTTAAAAATTGTAAAATTTCATAAAAATGAAAAGGCAAAGGAGAATATGAGAGAGAGAAATGCAAAAGTAAAAGCTGGGAAAGGATATGGGTGGCTGAGAGAGAGGGTCCCTGACTCAATAAACTCGATAATCAGCTATATTTGCTTTGATTCAGCTAGATTAAGGGGATCTGCCCTGGCTTCCTGACCAAAACAAAGAATTAAATCTATATCATATCAATTCTATTAAAATGAATTAGCATTATACCAGTTGTGTAAGAACATTTTGACTTTGTTATATGTGATCTATAAATTTAGACTACTTCAAGATATTGTACAGTTCTCTGCACTGCTAATTATCCATGTCTGTTATGAATGAGTGGCAGAAAATAGGAAAGTTCATATTCTAAAGAAAATATTATTTTCATGTAGTTTAAATTTAAACCTATTAAGCTTAATTTACAGTTAGAATTTGTTAAAGCTGTATATTAGCTGACTATGGAAAATAGGAATTAGGATCTCTCAAAACAGTTGTTTGAGAAGTTGGGGAGTGAGAAATATCCTACCTTTTTTTAGTATTGCTTCAGAGTAGGCTAAACCCCTCAATGGCTCCTGTAACCAGAGGAAGTACTAAAGTTTTGCTTTTCCCAGACTTCCTTTGCTTTACAGGTTTCTAAACTTAACCAATGCTGACACCTATAATTGACAGTTGAAAATTACAAATGAATAGTCTTTACAGCAAAAGAGGGGGAATCTATCAAGAGTTATTTGCATACCTAGCCGTCAACAGAGAATGCTCTAACTCTATTCAGGAAGGAGTTGAATTCTTTCATCAAATGAACTCAGGGAAAACAGAAAAAGGAGGTACAGTTGTCTCTCGCCACTTCACGCTTCAATGCGCTTTGACTGTGGCTTCACTCTATCGCGGCTTATAAAGAAAGAATCCCACTTCGCAGAATTTCATTTATTGCAGTAAAGTCTGGAACTGATTAACCACGATAAATGAGGGCCAACTGTATATAAATAAAGAATCCTACTTCGCGGAAATTCATTTATCGTGGTAGAGTCTGGAACTGATTAACCGCGATCAACGAGGGCCGACTGTATCTGTTTAAGCAGCCACAGCAGCTGAATTGTGACAATGAATAAAGTAACAGATGTCTCAGCCAAAGCCCCCTTAGCTCCTACTCATGAAATGTTTCTCTTTTCCATGAGTAGCTTGAGATGGGAGTGGAAAGTCTTTTTTTCCTAGTTTTACAACAAAATTATAAGCAGACTCTCAATTCACTACATTTCTAATCTCTTCTTACATATATTAGCAATTGTGTATAAGTGCTTACCTTTTCAGTCCAAACTCTTGCAAATAAATGTGAGTTTGACACCAGGTTTACTTGCTTTCATTAATCTTCCATGTCAGAATGCCTGATAAACTAAAGCTAATTTTACTTTTATAAAAATCACCTGGAAGGTTCCATTTACTTAGATATTATTACCTGTGTCCTTTAATTAAAATATTAACCTAGACAGTTTGGAATATGTCCAGACATATTAGAGACAACCAAATAACACTAAACTAAAACTACCTAACAGGTAAGTGGGGAGAAAAAAAGCCTTTTAATCTTTTAATAATACTGCAAACTTGGTTAAGACAATTGAGCAAAACAAAAGAAAACCAGAAAAAACATTTTCCATATGATTAATAAAGAATGTAATTTCACATTGAAAATACAAAAGTTGCCAATACACAGTATCATGGACTCAGTGTTTGTATTCACGTACTGAAGTCCTAACCCTCAAAAAAGTGTGGCTGTATTTGGAGATGGGACCCCCTGCGGAAGCAATTAAGTTTAAACGAGGTTCTAAGGGTGAGGCCCTGACACAATAGGATTAGTGTCCTTAAAAGAGAAGATAGAGAGCTCAGTCTCTTCACATAGTAAGTAGAAAAGGTCTTTTGTGAGGGCACAGTGAGAAGGCAGCCATACAAACACCAGGAAGAGAGTGTTCACGAGAAACGAAATCCTGCTGGACCTTGACTTGATTTTGGACTTTCCAGCCTCCTAAACTATGAGAAAATACGTTTCTGTTGTTTAAACCACCCAATCTATAGTATTTTGTTATGGCAGTTCAAGCAAACACGCACAGCAATGTGATTTTATTGCTGACTCACCTCTAATAGTAGATTCAACATTCTGACAGGAAAAATATGAGGCAATAGTTTAAAGGCTTACTGTTATAAAATCTAAAATGTTATTTCCAAAATCACTTTGGTGTGTGTGCATGTGGAAATGGAAAGGGAGAAGAATTTTCAAATATTTCTCCCAAAGTATCATTTTCAGGATGAGAAAAGAATATACTATGAAAAAGATGCTAATAGAAGTTAACTGTATTAATGCTAAAATCAGCACTAAAATGTGTTAAAACTTCCTTGATTTTCTGAAATCTCCTAATTTTACCACAATCCAATCTACAAACTTACCTGCAACCAATCACCTCCTCCTTTCCTGGTACATTCTAAGCAGTGGTTTTCAACCTTCCTAAAGCTGTGACCCTTTAATACACTTCCTCATGTTCTGGTGACCCCCAAACATAAAATTATTTTTGTTGCTACTTCATAACTGTAATTTTGCTACTGTTATGTCTTAGGCGACCCCTGTGAAAGGGCCGTTCGACCCCCAAAGAGGTCGCGACCCACAGGTTGAGAACCGCTGCAAGGTCTATCTTCCATCCTGTTTTCTAGATCCCACTTTTTTGTATCTTTGAAACTCAGCCCAATTAACCCTTCCCACTCTTTCAGTAAATTATCTTTACCATTTTTTCTGTAATTCCCATTACCTATTAGTTGTTCTTAAAGTAAAACTAACCCT